TGTGTGTGTGTGTGTGTGTGTGTGAGTGTGTGTGTGAGTGAGTGAATTTGTGTGTGTGTGTGTGTGTGTGTGTGTGTGAGTTGTAAATGTCGTGGTCTCTCTGTAACAGTGTGCAGACGTCTGTTTTCCCAGGCCTGTGGTGTTTGAGGGCCGCCGTGGGCCGCTTTGATAGATGGGTATGGCGTCGGGCCGCTCGGCTAAATGTATCCCATCAGACCCAGGTGTGGCGTAATCAGCTGACACCACAAATCACACAGACCTGCGTGCGTCTGATTGGACAAGAGTGCTCTGAGAGCTGGATATGATGTTTTGGCGGTGTGTTATCGCACACGCGTTCCTGCCGCGAACAACCTTCCATTCGTCTTGTACTGAATTAGAAGTCACTGAAGATGTTTGTGTTTCTGTGACAGAATCCAGTGAAGAAGATCCCGGACACTCATGAGATCACGCTTCAGCACGGCTCTAAAAGCGTAAGTGTCCGGCTCACACTCTTACATCTTCTGACCCGCTCATGTGTGAGCTCTGTGTTTCCTCTAATGCAGTCTACAGTCAATGCAAAATCAAAACCCGTGACCCGTTTCATTTCTAAATCAGCTTTTCCTCCTCCTCTTCAGTTCCGACTTCATTGTACACAAAAACAACTGTTAGAACTCAAGACTTCTTCCCTAAAAGTCACATCTATTTACAATATCTGTAATTATATTTGATAATATTTGCAATATTATTTATAATATTTACCATTACATTTAAATATTTAAATAAATATAAAATAAATTAATATTTTAATATATTTTAAATATACTTTTTAAACATGTATTTTTTTATTTACTGTTTTTTAATTGATATATGATTAATTATTGTACATTATGTTATTACTAGTTAATAAATATTAATATTATTTATTATTATGATTATATATTTATACATTTCCAATGTGATCTCTCTCTCTTTCTCTCTCGCTCTCTATATATATATATAAAATTCCTTTCTTCAAATTAATATATTATTTACATTGTGAATTGTTAATTTTGGATGAATACATTTTAATATATTACATATTTATATATGAATTTTCTCTTTAGTTCATATATAGTTTTATATAATATAATAATTAGAATAATTATTTTTAAAAATGAAATAATTACATAATTATTATATAAGGTATTATATAAACTGTCCAAAAGTCACATACAATACAAATTGTTATTTACATTTGACATTACTTTCTTGATATTTAAGCACATTATTGGTATTATTATTATTAGCAATATTAAGTATTTATTATTTTATGAATTAATAATATTTAATTAATACAAAGCAATAAAAATATTGTTACATTATAGATTTATATATTAATTTTCTATATGTAAAGAGTTTATTTGCAAAAGCAGATAACTCCGTTTTTTCAACTTTCTCTCTCTCTCTCTCTATATATATATATATAAAATTCCTTTCTTCAAATTAATATATTATTTACATTGTGAATTGTTAATTTTGGATGAATACATTTTAATATATTACATATTTATATATGAATTTTCTCTTTAGTTCATATATAGTTTTATATAATATAATAATTAGAATAATTATTTTTAAAAATGAAATAATTACATAATTATTATATAAGGTATTATATAAACTGTCCAAAAGTCACATACAATACAAATTGTTATTTACATTTGACATTACTTTCTTGATATTTAAGCACATTATTGGTATTATTATTATTAGCAATATTAAGTATTTATTATTTTATGAATTAATAATATTTAATTAATACATAGCAATAAAAATAATGTTACATTATAGATTTATATATAAATTTTCTATATGTGAAGAGTTTATTTGCAAAAGCAGAAATTTTTCAAATTTTAAAAAATCATGTTTTTTATGATGTTATCATGTTTTTATTGTGTTAGTTAGCTGTATTGTTTAGTTATTTTTTAACCTAGTCAAAATAACCCAACTGCAGTTTGATTGAGAGCAATTGTAATCTTGATGACTGAAATGATCTGTCTTTGCAAACGAACTCTTCGTATATAGTTTCAAGTGTTTGCCAAAGTTGCAAAATTAATAATTTTAAAACAAATTCAAATTCAAAAATCCTTTCAGATCAGTTTTCAAAGCAGCTGCACAGAAGACAACAGTGTGATTATTCAGCTCAGTTCGGTCCAGATGTTGTTCTGGATAATATTGCTGAGTATTAATGGTCTTTTAAGCCCCAAGAGAGCATCTAATGAAGCTAATTTCTGATGGTCTCTGCTTGTTCAGGTCTCAGCTTTGGCTCTGGATCCGTCTGGCGCTCGTCTGGTCACCGGCGGCTACGACTACGACGTGAAGTTTTGGGATTTCGCCGGGATGGACGCGGCGCTGCATGCCTTCCGGTCCCTGCAGCCGTGTGAATGGTGAGTTACTCCTCATCCGTCAGGAACGAGCCTCCGTCTCCAGTCAAATCAGGCTTTTGTTTTTCCTAGAAATCCCCCTCAAAGGAACGCACTAGTCTTGAGATATTAGGGATGCACAGAATGCTCGGCAGCTGAAATTGAATAAGCGAAAAGGCAGAAATTGTGCGGAACATTGATGTGACGCGATCAAATAGAGGCGTGCACTAATGCAGCAAACATGTTGTCAGTAGGGTTGGAAACCGAGAACCGTAAAAAATACATAACTGATTCAAGAAGGGGGTCTCAAAAATGGCCAAAAGAATTATTATTTTACTAGCTTTTAAGTTAAATTGTGCTTTGTTGGTATAGTGTCTGCTAGATAGGGCTGGGACAATAAATCGATGCGTCGCGATTCGTGGATCGATTCTGAGATTTTCGGAATGCATCGTGATTCTTTCTCGAATCGATTCTGAGCTTAGTTTGTAACAGCAGATGGCGCTCTAGGCTAGTGTAACGTAGTTTGTAGATCGGGAAGAAGGAGGCGGGAACCGGCGAACACTCAAAGAAACTTTTTAATAAAATAAACAAACACAAAACAGCGTGACAGCCCCTCACGGACGACTGCCGCGCACAAACGAAACCAAAACACAAAATAAAATCCAGGCCTGGTCCTCTCTCGTCTTTCCCTGTCGTCACTCCTCCTTTGTATCCTTCCGGAGCTCCTCCGTGAGACTCGAGACCGGTGAGTGGTGCAGGTGTCGCGCATTCGCAA